ATTATTGTTCGGGACGAACAATATTAAGGAGGGGGCAGTGTTGCGTCATCGAGATCATGTGATTCTCACGCCCTCTACTTTCTAGAACTATCCCGTACCTTGGCGAATGCTCTAGTATTTACTAGATAGGGTAGGCTGGTATATAAAAGAGGGTGACAACGTGACGAGATAATATAATGTGTGTGTAGACAGTGAGTAACTGAACTGCAGTCACAGGGTATTGTTGAAGTTAACGTTCGTTCGTGATACTGTTTGTTTTAGCGCGAATATTGAGATTAAGTGTATCGCAGAGTTATATTCGGAAAGAATAAACCAGTTTTATTAAGTAAATACTTGTGTCGCTAAAGTTTCGTCGGAACGAAGTTACGGGAAGTTAATTAACAAACGGAGACGTAACACTACGAAATTTTAAAATAAAATATAACTAATTAAATCGAATATGGTATTTTTTTTCTCTTTGTTTACCATAACTATATCATTTTATTAATAAAACAGAGCACACCTAAGATAAAAATTTATTCCTATAATCACGTAAGAACTGCAGCTTTAAATGACATGGCTATTTATAGTCTTCCCTCTGACTAGAGCGGGAAAAACATTTATGAAATATCATCCTTTAGCTGTAAAGCATGCTCAGTTGTTCACAGCTATCGATCCCTTACTAACTTTTATTTCAAAACTCCTGTGTTGTATGACGGCAGCAGGAAAACCGTCTTTCCTCTCTGTTCTTAATGCTCATAATTGTTGTTACATCTACAATAAAAAGAAAAATACGAAATGTATTTAATCCAATGCGTCTTCCTGTCCTTGAATACATGCAAGTTATAAAAAAAAATTAACACATGAATTTCACGACCAACATCGTGAAACAAGCATGAATCTATCTAACAAACTACGCTTATTATCCTCATGGAAATGTATCACATGTAAATGTAGTGTTAAATGACTTGAAATCAACAAAGCCGTCATTCAATAGCATTAATTTAAGCGTATATCAATATACAATCGTAATTGTGCTTTTACGCATCGTAGTGTTTGTGAGGTACGTAAAGCAACCACATAAAATACATTTTGTGGGCGTAATGTTAAGAAGCTAGGTAATTAACAGTGGTACTATGGTGCGTGTGACCAAGCAGAAATTTCAGAAAATGTAACAAATATATATATAAGAAATTGGGGAAAATATTCATATTCTCCAGTTTTTCAAAGAAATATTAATTTTAAAATTGTATGATAATAGAATTTTGTAAAAGTTAAAACATGAGGCCATCATTTGAGAATATACTATAATGTCAAATAAAAAAATAAAAAAATGCGTGAGTGTTTGTAGGGAGGGGGCGAGTTCAGAGCAGCCATGAAACCTCACTGGATACGCTAGTTACTTATAGTGATGCCCCCCCCCCCCTGCGTGTATGTGTGGATACACATAACACTGTGTGAGTCACGACATATACTTAACACATGTCTTGTAAATTGTATTTTATATTGAAACCTGCCTTTTGGTTTCCTTTTGATACTCAGCTTGGAGTTCTGTGTGCCTAACAGTGATTTTATATTAGTACAGGGTGTCCAAAAAAGTCTGGAACCATAGGTGATTTGCAACTTTTCTTGATTTCTGATACGTGACTGATTCTGGCGTGTCAAAGCATGAGAATGTAGTTATTTCTGCTGTTAATCCAAACTTGTTTCGGATTACAAAGACAGCATGTGGAACACATTATGTAAAATTCGTTGAAGTGTCTAATGTTCCACACTCTTCGGACACCCTGTACAACTCCCTATATTGGCTGTGGCTAAAACCTAGTTACACGACTCCTCTAAGATGTAAACACAGCAAGAAAATCTATCGTTCTCAAACTGAAGTCACGTGACTCCGTTTTACCTCGCAGAGAACTACAGGGTATTGCCCTTTCACGAAAACTGTGAAGCTTACGAACCCACACCGACCGGGCAAACCCGTCACACATATACGAATGACTCAACTAACCGGGAACCAGCACTTACACGTTGAAGGAATAGGTACAAACTACTTTTGTCTTCAAAATCGGCAGCTGTAAGCACGCGCTTTCCGTTAGTAATGACCATTAATTAAGACGTATGCTGATGAAATGTAGCCTGACTTTTTTCTGATACTTGATGCATGTTAATATGAGTTAAAATATTATATTTTTATTTGACATAACAGGGAGCCGAAATAATATCTTCTAACACACAAGATTAAACCGAAAATGTGTAAAAAGAATTTTATTAACAAGGAGAAAATTGTGTACACAAATTATAACGTGTCACAACTATATAGGTATAACATGTTAAAAAATGAACTATACATATGGAATGTTACAACAATCTTATAGAAGGTCCTACAAGACACGACGGATCCAGGAATTTCAATAACGGAAAGTCCAAATGAATAGAATGATAGTCCCCGGCTCCGCTACTGTAATAAGATACAACAAATAAAGCAACAAATGTACATATTTAGAAATTTGTTTCCCTGGCGGAAAGAATTGTAAAAGTCTGCTTAACCTTAGAATCAGATAAAGACCATCATGGGCGTTTTAAACACAGTTTTCGAAAGTATGTATGCACCAAATTGCTGGCGAATCCATGACTTTCATTTGTTACAGGTTCGAATAGTTTGTTTGTTTTGAATTTCGCACAACGCTACACGAGGGCTATCTGCGCTAGCAGTCCGTAATTTAGCAGTGAAAGACTAGAGGGAAGGCAGCTCGTCATCACTACCTACCGCCAACTCTTGGGATACTCTTTTACCAACTAATAGTGGAATTGGCCGTCACATTATAGCACCAGCACGGACGAAAAGACGAGCATGTTTGGTAAAACGGGAATTTGAACCAGCGACCCTCAGATTGCGAGTTCAGCACCCTTATACCTGGGTTCGAATAGCATACAACTCATACGCACAAACATACATGTATAAACAAAAATAACATCAATATTACAATTAATCTCACTAATTACTGTTGGGGTTTCTTAAGTGATTAATTTCTACATTTTTTGTCAGTTCTTTACAATGAGTGTTGTAACAGGTAAAACACAATCATTGAGCATGGTACAATATGCGAACTCCACGGATAGTGAACGGTATATAAACAAGTCCATAATTTAATGGTTAACGACCAAACCACTGGATTATACCGAGTGATATGGACATGTACGTTTCACAATACATACTATATACTTTTCTCTGGCCCTTCCTTGGACTCTTCAATGAAAACACTCACAGCATAGCTTTCGCAGTACAAACGTTAACAAAGAGACCATTAAAGATTTCCTGCCAAGCCAGAAACTTTACACGGTATATATAGTGCAAATTATCACAATGATTAAATTGAAAACTAACGCAATGAAGAAAAATAAGGGAATAATACCAAACAAAAACGCTTACAATTTTCACAAAATGTTATCAATTTTCTTCCAAGGGAATAAGCCTTATTACTTTTCTTCTCTATTCAAAAGCAGAGACTCAACAAATACATAGAACTAGTAGTAAACTCCTATCGTTCCTCAGTTCACAGAGGAAACACATGGCGGAACACTCAACTCGAGTTCAGAATTAAATTGTGTAGTTTGAACAAAGTCAAGTTGCTGTTGAAGTATATTTAAATGAAAATATAAATTATCATATATTTCTTATGTTATACTTACACAAAACTACAATGTTTTATACTAACACCTTGTTGATAACGTTATTAGGATACACCGTAATGTGTAATGCGGCCAAAGCAGCCTGCAGGACACATTGTGTGTTATTAACAGGAATGATAGCAATTTTCCACTTTCTGTAACTCGGACTGTGTTTATCCACGTTATCACATATTTTCAGTAGATGTGCTCTACTGGACCCTTATACTGGACGAAATACACGAGATATAAAACCTCCAATTTAGATTGAATTTTCTTTTTTTTTTTCTGCGCAACGAAAGTACGGAAACTTCATTTGATAGAAAAACATACTTAACTTTCATGGATTTTTTTCAAATTTGGTACACTGATATATCTTTACAACCTATAGTCAGGTGTCAAATTTGGTCTAAATATAAGCCACGCGTGAAAAGGTATTCTAAAAAAAACACTCAAATTGGAACAAACTTTTGCGCACGCCTACGCAAAAAGTCACGTGAGCTATCGGTTTGAAATTTTTACTACAGCATCACCTAGATATAAAGGTGGACCGTTTTTAGTCTTACCATTCAGATTAAAGACGGCTTCTTTGGAGCAGCAAAACTACAAGGTGAAACTGAAAGCATGTG